CCATTTACAATTGTTATAGTTAAGCCAATAAAATAAAAAAATAAGCCATGCAGAAAAGAGTCAAGATTAATATTGCAGACATTATATTTTATTCATATGCTGTACTGAGATATCGAAAAAAGTATTTACATTTATAATTAGATGATGCGGGCTTCCTGTCGATTTGGCGGAAGCAATTAATGCTACTGCAGTATTGATATCTCTGCGATCAAATGAATAATCTGTGCCAATCCGTGCCCACCATTGGACTAAAATAGCAGCGTCTAGAGAGTGCTATTTCCTTCGAAATCACTCTGATCAGTCGTCAGTTCAAATACCAATATGCTGACTATTCATGGAAGTTTAAGTGTTATTGGGTGCTCGTGACGGATATTAATTAATCATGATAATAATAGCATAGCGGCGTGCGGATCGCATTTTTTCGACAATAATCCGACAATAAGTAATGAATCACAGTGGCATTACTTTCACCAAATCGACAGGAAGCCCGCCACCTATAATGTAAACATTTGGTGACAAATGGCTTTTTCAATATGTCAGTATAAAAATAAAATAGAATTTCTGTAATATTAACTTTGACTGTTTGTTTCTAAGAATATTAATAATTGTAAATAAAAGTAAATTACAGCAATAAACAAAACCTCAATTCGCAATAATCCACTTAAAAGAAAAAAGAATATTAAAAAAGAAATGACAATTAACATTACAGTAATACATCACAGCGGCATTACTTCCGCCAAATCGACAGGAAGCCCGCCACCTATAATGTAAACATTTAGCTTTTTCGATATGTCAGTATAAAAATAAAATAGAATTTTTGCATCATTAATTTTGACTCTTTGTTTCTAAGAATATTAATAATTGTAAATGGAACACGAATGGAAGTTGTGTGAATTGTTAGCTGATTTCTGATAGATTGGATTCCAAGAACTTTGAGTCGATGTATAAGGCGGAGATGTAAACAACCGAACGGTCGACAATATTAAATTCCTGGTATAAACTCCAAAAGTGGAACAGCTCAAAGAAAATTTTTTCATTCAAGGTATGTATATTTATGTTTCTTCAAATTCTCTAAACTAAAGGCGAAGAACAATGATGTTTTAAGCGAGTTTATTTCAAGGGGTTTTTAGTCATGCAATCGGACCATTGGCGTAATAGACTAAATTTTGATCTAAACAAAAATTTCATCACAGCTTAAAAGAGCATCACAAAATTAGTAATATTCCAAAACTTCGTTGCGAAATGTTGTAAAATGCGGATAATATAGCCCTGCGAAGTTTGCAATTTTCAGTCATTTTAGATTACAAACGGGAAATTGACAGCCTGTCAATTTCCCGTTTGTAATCTAAAATGACTGAAAATTACAAATTTCGCAAGGCTATATTATCCGCATTTTACAACATTTCGCCACGAAATTTTGGAATATTACTAAGTTTGTGATGCTCTTTCAAGCTGTGACGAAATTTTTGTCTAGACTTGTTGAGATCAAAATTTAGTCTATTACGCAAATGGTCAATTGCCAAACAGTGATTTTTGCATATTTAATGAACCAAAGTTAACTCTTTCTCGTAGCGCGTGAATTTATTTGCCCAAAATAAATAATACATTTCTGAAAAGAGCAGTTTTCCAATAGTGCTTGTGCAAAATCTCATAAGATTTGAAAGGATGGCAAATGGAGAAATCTGTCCCTTTTTACACGCAATGACAAACAATAAAGATCAGTACCCGTCGCTCTTTATTGTGCACAAATGTGTTCAGTTGTTCAATTATCATAAAACCACTTTTAATAAACGAGGGAGTGATGTATCTTTAGCAGAAAGTATAATAAGGCTATTTGGATTTACGGTTTGGATACCAGGATTAAGTAAACATACGCAATTTCGGCCATTTTTCGATTGCGAAAATCGGTCCTCACAGCTGAAATATTTTTTTGCCTTTTTTCATAAACAAAAGAGTATTTTTAAAAACTAACCATATGACGTTTCATACTTTGTCATAGTTAACTTAAATTCAAAAGTAGAGCGAATTTAAAATTTTGAGCCTTGCCGCGGTATGTTTGATTTTTGTAGAGACTCGCTCTTAAGCATTGATGATGCTTGCAGTGATAAAAAATTCTTTTTAGAAAAATTGAATGGAAAGGTCACATTAAAGAAAAGCAACAATTATTTTTATCAAATTCAAGGGTGTATGGCCACACTTGATGTTACCTGGTGTGATTTTGTTGTTTTCACAAATATTGACTTGCATGTTGAGAGGATTTACTTTGATAATGAATTCTGGCAAAAAGTTGTTCCAGAGCTAAGCAGTTTTTACTCTGAATACATGTTACCAGAATTGTAATATAGAATAAACAATATAATTATGTTAACAAGGTGCAATTACGATTTACTGAAAGTCACCTATAACTCAACAGTTTAAACTTGTTTTTCCTTAATGATAGGTGGTAAAAATAGTGTTAAATAGGAGCAAACACTCCAAATGTGTTCTAAGTTCTCAGCCAATGTCAGGGGAACTACCTGATGCAAAATTCTATAATTTTTTATTCTTGCAATTGCACGCTCAACATGTACACGGACTGAGGCAATTTTTCGTGTTTTCACCTCATCCTCTGCTGATAGCTGAGGCTGTCCATTTAAAAAGGGTGGAATGTTTAAAGACACTCCATTTGGCATGTCAGCCTCAATATCGAATCCCCTGTCTGCCATCAATTCATCTCCTGGTTCAAGAAGCTTTAGTATGCCACAGTCATGTGTAATCTTCTTATCACTAGTTCGACCTGCATACAGACTAGAGATAAAACTAGGGTATCCATTGGGTGATATTCCAATTAAGCCCTTTGCTGTATTGTGGTTTTTGTAGCTTGAGAATGTGATGGACTGACTTCTGCATGATGATGGCATCTCAATGAAAATTTCAGTGCAGTCAATTATTACTCTAGTTTTTGGATATGTTAGTTTAAAACAGCCAGGCATGTTATCATCAACAAAATTCCGACTAGGCCAAATTGGTAGAGCACGAAGGCGTTGGTATAGGAATACAATCCATGTTTTAAAAATTCTAGAGACTTGTGTTGTCGAAATACTAAAGCGATGTGCAATATCTTGTACAAGTAACCCCAATCGTAATCTTATGAGTACAAGAAATAATTCTTGTTCTGGAGACATAGATCTTGGTTTGCCGCATTTAGTTTGGCTATCTGAGGTTATAGGAGCAGTATTTGAACCATGGTATAGAAGATGTTCACAGGCTGGGGAAAGGTAGTTATAAAATGCTTTGAAACAAGAATAATTTGGAAAGCCAGTGTAAAACTTAAAATCACTGTCACTGTTAATAAATCTCTCCAAATGAAATACCCCACACTTTAATTTGGCAACATCTTCATCATATTTTGTACTCAAAGCCATATTTTGTGCCTGCAGTGATGATATTGTATTCTCAAGATCCTGGATTGTATTTTTCGAGTTGTCATCTTTAGTCGAGCTATCATCAATGACAGAGCTATCTTGACTTGTATTTTCCAATGTAAATTGTTCTGCAATAACTGGATTTTTATTGTCCATTGTCCGAGTAGTGGGGCTTTTTCTAGGTTTTCTTGTAGCAGTGGCAAAAATTGTTGGAATGTTGTTGCTGTATGTTTTTGCACCACCCACAAAATGTGCAGAGCATACCCTGTGACTGGGACCAGGGTCCCTTATACCTTTCCTTTTCAACAAACGAACCCACTTTTTCCTCAACTCTGGATTTTTCGGTATTTTATGAAATGACATCTCAGGAGTTTTTATATTATTGTTCTCACATTGTGGTATACAGCAGAATTGTTTACATATTCTAGTGATTTCAACAGATTCACTACTATTCGTCTCATGCGAAGTGCTTGGTTCACTCTCCATATTATATAGTTTAAAAATTTATATACACCTAGACACTTTAATTTATACTCTGACTACAAAAATTTACAATATATTTATCTATTTAATTTTAAACTGAATTTAAATGAATTTACCTAAAATATCCTATCTAAATGTTTATGAATTTACCTAAAATATGCCATCTAAATGTTTATTTCCTATGCTATAAGTTCAAAAATTGAAATTTATTTACCTAAATATTATTCTATAACCCACGAACAATTTATTAAATTACAATGGAGGATGAAAACCAAAGCAAACTTCAACTAGAGGACAAATAACAGCAGTAAACCAAGAAAAGCACTTTCAACTTTATATTTTGTCACTATAGCTTGTGTTGCTCATTCAAATTCAGTATATTTTCGCGCCAAAACAAATCCAAAACATTTGGCAAGGCCACGGCACTTCAATGGCAAATTTGAACAAAATGGTTACGACATATGTCAATTTCAGGAAGCTTAAAACGACTTTTGTACAAGTACTGTAGTAAAATGTCCCAGAGATCAAATAAGACACACTATCAGTTAAGCTTATTTTGTAAAAAAAATTAGCCGATCGCAAGTTGAAAAGCGAACTCACCTGTTTTAGTTCGTGTGGTCAATTTTTCGCGAGCAAATTTACGCGAAGCATGTTCACAACTTGTCGTCTTCTCAACGGATTTTTATCACCATTAACGCCCAGATCGCCACGAAATTTCGTCCACTTGTAGTGACAAACCTCCTCGTAATTTTGCGAAGAAAACAGACATTGATGGACACTTAATGTTGTTAAAAATCCGCCGATTCTTCTCTCGCACGAAATCGATCGCTCATACGGCAGCCATTTCGTTCAATTGCATACTCCTACCGTCATGCTTAGCGCGCCTAGTGCTATAAGGGGAAAGGCCTATTAAGTTAACTAAAATTGTGATGGGGCCATCTATCTCGTATCCTGATGTTGGTCATTGATACTGGCTTGTGTGGTGAGATGTGGTTCGAATGACCAGATCACCAGACTATGTATTGCAAAACGTCTTTTTTCGAAAATTTATTTTTGTATGATTGCAGAAGCTGTTAAAATTCATTTTCAATCGCGGACGAAGTTGGCACGGAATCCAATTAAACCAAGAAAGAAACTCAGGATGTGTATGCGAAGTAGGAGAGAAAGGGTATTAATATCCTATTGATTGCTGTTGTTGTTGTTGTTGTTGTTGTTGTTGTTGTTGTTGTTGTTGTTGTTGTTGTTGTTGTTGTTGTTGTTGTTGTTGTAAAAAAATTAATGTCGATAAGTGCATTGGTAAACATATTGTATTTTGGGGGACGGTAAAATTTTCCTTGCCAAATAGCCGTAATTTAATTGCGTGTTGTATAATCAAGATTGTAACACTTATTTATTTCAATATTTATTTAATTCGCCTACTTTTTCACTAATGACATTCAGGGCTATCCTCTTTACTGCGCCGGAATACATTAATAATATGTTTAAATTCTGTGAGAATAGTACATACAATATGAGAAGCAACAGATGGAAGCTCGCATTGGGCAAACCCAGTTGAAACTTTATGAAAAAAAGTTTCTCGTACCGGGGCGCTGTCGTCTGGAATAATTTACCAGATGTCTTAACTAAGGCCAATGAGCAATTTTCAAATTTTGCTTGATAAATATTTTTACGAATTGAATGACGTTTGAAATCTGCTCTAATTCCTCTTTTTAACGAGAATAAGGATTCGTTCTTAAAATTTAACTAGAGAGCATGTATTTGACGTTATTTTCATTGTATTTGTATATACCTAGATTAGTTTTGTAGTTTGAAAAGTTAATTTGTAAATAATTACTGTCGTTCCAATTGAAGTGTTCCTCAAATATTGATTCAATACATTACCTCAGGCTGACCAATTCATTTCATCAAGTTCCTCGAGATATTGATACACTTCCTGTGAAAGAGCCAATTCCAAGAATTTGATCATTTCTGGTCACTTCCTTTCTATATATGATTGGTTAGTTGCACAAACAACAAAGCTGATTGGTGCATTCAAACTATTCAACAGGAAGTTTACAATTATACTAGGAAGTATATGAATATTTCGAGGAACTTGATCAAATGAATTGGTCAGCCCGAGGTAATGTATTGAATCAATATTTGAGGAACACTTCAATTGTAACGGCAGTAATAAAACAGGCTTGCCTGAAGGGTTACCGTTGTTAAATAACTTTATAATAATAATAATAATTCTTGGTTAATTTAGTGCCAAATGGATTTAATTTACGTTGCAGTTATTGGAAATGAGGTTGAAGGTGGCCACAGAGGAGGAGCAAGAAGAGTTTGGAGCGGCCCTTAAAGTGGAGTACATGTCTGAGGACGCGGATGCTTCTGATGGAGGTTGGTGCCACATGAAGTTAAATTGGAGGGCGGATGATCTCACCCAGTTTTTTCGTACGTTGGACATTCGGGCAAACGAGAGGAGGAAAGACCACGTGAAGGAACGCACGAAAAGAACGCATTCGGCACTTTCCAGAAAACGTGCGCCAAATGATGCACCTGCTTGGGCTGTAAAGCCAGTCGAAACAGCTGAAATTGCAGGCCCTGTCAACACAAACAGAACTCGTGGACGTGGAATTCGAACACGCGGAGGCGGCAGGGGCGGAGGTGCTGGAACAGGACCGAGATCTACTGCACGGAGAACGATCACCTACGCAGCACAAGAAGTGCTTAATTCTATAGCAAAATAAACATACTAGATAGCACAAACGGATACAGCAAATTCAATTAACGTTGTCCTCTGAGTTGTCCTTTCTTAATTTATTGCATGGTTCTTAACATCTTAGCAATACACCATTTGCAAGCTTTGTCCCTCCTGTATTACATATTTATTTACGTCCATTGGGCCTTTTGCTATTCAAATTGGACTTTGAGGATAACCTTAATTGAATTAGTTGTCTCTGACATTAATGGAATTAGACATTTAGTCTAGATTTAATGACGTGCTTTATATCTAAAATATCCTAGTTAGTTTGCATTCTATTATTTTATGTTTGATTTGATGCATTTATACTTGATATTTATATTTCCTGCGTTCACGTTTCACTTGTCTCAGTCGCATAAATATGAATTCGGTATCATACCAGGCAGCTACTGAGACGTACAAGCTGCAAACTGCTTCTTGTATATGTATCCATATGATAATGAATGCTATTCACTTTTACTGCAGGGTCACATCTTTAATGTCGCGCCCAAACGTTTTCGTGTCCACTTATAGGCAAGAGCCAACAAGATGTGTATAGGCACAATTCGACAATCAAACTTTGGAATATTGTTTTATGATTTCAGAATTTACTGTTGCATGATTTACGTATTGATCTGAATCTCCGATCCCTGACTGGTGTTTGTGCTAATTTCAATTAGCGAACGCCTAAAAAACAAATATTTTCCCACGCCAATTAGCATTTTCTTATTTGCATTGACGTAAAAAATATGGAAGAAGAAAGAAAGCAACCTTGCGTTTCTCGCAATTCGGTCATTTATATATCTGACTATCAGATTTCTGAATCAAATGAAAAACGTAAGCAGCTAAGTTTTGTTTCTTGTATTACTCTTCGGACTTTGTTCCCAAACTCACTTTTGAATTTTTGGGTTGGGTATTTGCCATAAGCTCAAAAGAAGAGAGTATTTTCTCTCCTGCCACATCACAGTTGATACAGAACTAGTGATATGGTTTAAAGTTTTCTATTTAATATACGTCGATGAAGAATGAATACGAATACTCACTCTTAAAGCTGATTTTATTGGCGTATAATTGTTTGCTCCTGTGGTATAGTCGTCTATTTACAAAGGTATGTTAATATTAAGTTGAGAATAAATAAGAGAGGTATAGGACTGTTACAGTTTCCTTGTTTCTACAATTGTCAATATTTTCAGCAGCTTAGACCTAGAGATTTTATTCCGTTATTTTTGGCAACTTTGAGGTTACATGTGACCGTGATGTGACGCAATAGCTCTGTGGGAATAGCTACCATACGCAAGTCCAAAATTGACCAAACCTGCCAAAGCCATAATGGCATCTACTGGAATCTGCATGTGAATCGCTACAGCCTGCTTTTTTGACATTTGTTAAGGCTGACCGGACTCCCAAACATCGAGACATTTTACATCCTTGAACCCAGGCTTTCATCCTGCGCTCTCAAAGCCTTTCTCGTACCCAGAGTCCTCACGCACGGTGCGACGAGGGGCTCTGGCCAAATCGATATCCGAACTGGCATCTGATTGGCTAGTTCTAATACCGGATATTGTTTTCTTACCATGTTTTTATGGTATCCGGTTATGGATTTGGCCAGAGCCACTCGTCGCGCTGCGTTGACCGCGCGTAAGAAGGGCTCTGGGTACGAGAATGGCGCTCTCCATGCGAGAAGAGGAACCCTGAATAAAAACAGATGGATTCAAATTTTATCAAACTGCTGTCATCTTAAATTAAATTACCAATAGCAATGTCATCTTAATTAACTATACATGAAATCCTCATTTTTAGCGTGATTTTCTTGTTTTGTTTTTTTATTTCTGTCACTAAAAATGCGCAATAATAACACATTGTCTGAAGTTAAATTACAGGGTTTTTTTATTAAATATAAAAAAACTGAACAAATTTGCTCTTCTTTAATTAGTGCTATTTCTTGCACTTAAACTTGCACGGTCCTCCATCCAGCGACTTAACGCTCCGTGTAGCGTTTTGTTTAGGAAAAAAGGAATAGTTATAGGTATATATATATATAGTTATAAAAATGAATAGTTATACGACCTTTGCAATGCTAGCTCAATGCTCTGTCAACTGAGCTACGCGGTCTGTGTTGGGAAAATCCCCCCCCGGTTTACAAAATTTAAGTCGAGAAATTTTTTTCATTCTACATTATAAGTACCCAAAGAAACTATGTAGATCAAAACTGGATACTAATAGCAGTTTTGCGAAATTGACAGCGAAATTCAGTTTTTCCTGTATATTTCCTTTTCCTGCATGAATATGAAATTGGATAGTTTAAAAGTGCATGGCACATCATATCATGCGACGCAAATGAGTAGCAAACATGATCAAAATTCTTCCAGCTTTCAGATAGCTACTGACAAATGAGTAGCTACATAATTAAGTTCTTGTACACACATTAATCTCATTTCATAAGTAGATATTAAAAATATTAGCATTTAGGCGCACCAGATATGACCTACATTTACATTAATATTACTTATTCCAACCTCTCACCCCAGGGACAACAAGCTAGCTTCCATTGTATGATTAAGTTAAAGAAAATCAATTTAACTGGAAAATATTCAAAAAAATGTATAAATTCTTGCCATGTATAGTATTCCGACAGTATTTTGCTTCGGAATATTTGGTGTAGTTTATTCCGACGTATTCTGCGCAGATTGCTACGAGTATTCCGGAAATATTCCGAGCGAATACCTCAGAATATCCCCGAATATTACTAATATTCCTAACAATATTCCGAGGTATAGAGGTCGGATTATTTGATTTTTCGCCCAGTGTACATATTCAGAAATTTTCAATAATTTTGTTACAACCACCTCGGATATAATTCTGTTACAACCACCTATCAGAAACATGGATTTTTTTACGTTAATCAATACTCACACGTTGGATCAAATTGCCATTGACCACGTGACGTGTTCACAACGAGCCATTTAACAACGAGCCATTTCACAACGAGCCATTTCACAACGAGCCATTTCACAACGAGCCATTTCACAACGAGCCATTTCACAACGAGCCATTTCACAACGAGCCATTTCACAACGAGCCATTTCACAACGAGCCATTTCACAACGAGCTATTTCACAACGAGCTATTTCACAACGACTAGCTATTTCACAACGAACCATTCCACAACGAGCCACTTAACAACGAGCTATTTAACAACGAGCTATTTAACAACGAGCTATTTAACAACGAGCCATTTCACAACGAGCCATTTCACAACAAGCCATTTAACAACAAGCTATTTAACAACAAGCCATTCCACAACGAGCCATTTAAGAACGAGCTATTTCACAACGAGCTATTTCACAACGAGCTATTTAACAACGAGCTATTTCACAACGACTATAGCTATTTCACAACGACTAGCTATTTCACAACGAGCCATTCCACAACGAGCCATTCCACAACGAGCCATTTAACAACGAGCTATTTAACAACGAGCTATTTAACAACGAGCCATTTCACAACGAGCGAGCCATTTCACAACGAGCGGGCCATTTCACAACAAGCTATTTAACAACGAGCCATTTAACAACGAGCCATTCCACAACGAGCCATTTAAGAACGAGCTATTTCACAACGAGCTATTTCACGAGCTATTTCACAACGAGCTATTTCACAACGACTAGCTATTTCACAACGACTAGCTATTTCACAACGAGCCATTCCACAACGAGCCATTCCACAACGAGCCATTCCACAGCGAGCTATTTAACAATTACGAGCTATTTAACAACGAGCCATTTCACAACGAGCCATTTCACAACAAGCTATTTAACAACAAGCTCTTTAACAACGAGCCATTCCACAACGGGCCATTTAAGAACGAGCTATATTTCACAACGAGCTATTTCACAACGAGCTATTTAACAACGACCTATTTGACAGCGAACTATTTAACACTGACAAGGTATTTAACAACGAGCTATTACACACAGCAAGCTATTTCACACAGACAAGCTATTTAACACCTTAACACTGACAGGGACTATTTTGCAACGAGCTATTTCATGCGAACAAGCCGTTTCGCATTTTTAGCTGTTCCATTTGACGACGCGGACGTAAGCCATTTGAAAATTCATTGAACTGCGACACAATTCGTTGAGCCATTTCGCATTTTATTGAATCAATGTGGAATACGTTGATCCATTTAGCTATGCGTTATCAAAAAATATAATACAAAACATAATCCGAAGATAAGCATCTTGAAACCCAAAATATGAGTCAAACAAGAAAGTGAGTGAGTAATATTTCGATTTTATTACAAAATCATCATCAGCAGTAGTCTGATGATGATTTTGTAATAAAATCGAAATATTACTCACTCACTTTCTTGTTTGACTCATATTTTGGGTTTCAAGATGCTTATCTTCGGATTATGTTTTGTATTATATTTTTTGAAATTGTCGGCTGGTATTGGTTTTTATGCGTTATCAATCCATTCGAAATTAGGTCGGACAAGTGATGTTTTATATATGTCATTTCAGTGTAAGAGATCAATCGCTTTTAATTTTGGTTAAATCAATCACATTTTGTCGATATATTTCACATTTTGCTATGCCATTTAGCGACTTTACTATTTTTGGTGGTAACGGCCGCCCATAACAGGGAGTATATACATGCATACGATACCCTTGGTCTTGCCTTGCATGGCCTTCAGTAATTGTTGCGTGACTGTAACTCAACTATTAAACAGTGTGTCATATAAAAGTGCATGCAGTGATTTGCGAAAACAGGTTAATATCAATCAAACACGTAAAGCAAAGCCAAAGGGGATTAATTATTGCATTGATTAGTGAAAATGTCAGATCAAACACCTCGAAGGATCGATACCAGTGTGATATATAATTGACATTATAATATAGCAGTTTGTAAATTCTGAACGCTTATTGGCTAAGAGCAACTCATTGCCAACACGGAAAATTTCTTTCTTTATACTTTATATACGTCTTTGTGCTATATTGTAAAAAATATAAATCATTTTTCCGTATTGATGCAGTTATGTCAACACTCGTGGAGATTGGGAAAAAACTGTTTCCACACAATTTATCGTTTCCCAATTTCCACTCGTGTTGAAAAATTAATTAAACTGTATATCAACAGAAAAATGTTTTATATAATTGTTAAATCAATAAATGTCAAACAGCTGCAGTATGAAAGATCAGAACCGCCGAGAGCTTGGCGGCGGCCCGGGGCAAATTTTTCTTAGGGGGCCCCTATTCAAAATATTTTCCGGTCGAGTACGTTGCAAATGCTTTTGTTGGAATTTCCTGTAAATTTTTCATACCAAATTTCGGTTCTTTGCCCGAAAAACATAAATATTTCGACCACAAAACGGTAATATTTCGCGCAAACTGATGATTTATGAAAACTACTGCTGTGAAAATTTGGCAAAATTTGACAGGCTGTCCGAGTGTCGTGCATCATAAACAATTCAATTTTTACATAGGACGAAAGAGCTGTTATTTAGCTTTACTAATATGATACCTCTTCTAAATCGTAACGATTTGAAATGGCCACATACTCGTCAAATAAAAAATTGCCGGTCGAAATCACATTCTTCCACCGTTGGGAATTGAAAATAATATAATTAATTACGTAAAGTAACAGTCAGTATAGCATGCAACTATAAAAAGCCAAATGAATGTGTTTTGATAAACAGGAAATTGGATTGATGCCGTTTTTTCAATCTGCAATCTGTATATATATATATATATATATATATATATATATATATATATATATATATATATATATATATATATATATATATATATATATATATATATATATATATATATATATATATATATATATATATATATATATATATATAACTGCGGGGTATAACACGTTAATATTTCATACTAGCGCTGTCCCGGCAGGATAGTTTATGATCTGTTCATTTGCGAGTTTTCAATTCCGACATGTAATCGTGCCAGTTTATTTCAGGTTTAGAGGTTTTCTGCTTTTGTATTTGTATTTGCAAAGATCAGCCTTTCAACTGTCAAATGACAAGGACCTTTATTCAATCATGGGGTGTTTTCCACTAACATGGCCAGACCGGTCAGAACAGTCAAATTGTTGAATGGAACACAAAACGATTGGGCTTCTGAACGGAAAATTTAGATAATATTAGAATGAGGTCCATTTTCGCTAGCTGTTTGAGAAACATAGTCATAGACCAGATCTATTGATACAGAAATTAAAATTCGGGTCTGACCGGTCAGGTCATTAAATGGAAAGCGCCCTGCATATACTGTCGAGAATTCGCCTCTAAAATAAAATACTCCGCTTAAACGTATATAGTTCCCGACAAGTCACAATATCACAAATGTGCATCAATGCAGTACATCATTAATAATGATGAGATTAACTATCCCGTGATGTGATTATAGTATAATCACATCACGCAATAATTATAGGGAATATTTTTCTATTTATAAAATCAAACTTGAATTCTTCAATTACCTTAATGAACAGTAAGTACACTTAACTGATGAAAAATGACTTGCATGTCGTGTGAAGAACAAGAACAATGGTTGAATGTTGAAAAACGAATGCGCGAAGACCGAGTACTATAAATACGGGGACGCTACTCTGTATAATTGACTCAGAGACCTTGAAGTTGATAGAGATATAAGGGATTAAATAATTAAAAGAAGACTCTTCGAAAATGAAACAATCTTTGATATTGTTCTTTATTGTCATAAGTTTGGTGGTTACATTAAATGAAGGTATGTTTATTAATTCACATTTATTGGATTGTTACCGTGGGAGAGCTTCAATACTCACAATAGATTTGCTCTTTGCTGTACGCGGAGAAGATCTCGCGCAATTTCGTTCCGAAAAAAACCTAAAATCCGCGCGAGAAAATATTTTGGGTATCATCCCCAATGAAATTTGTTCATATATTTTGCGCGAGTTCATGTGTCAGGAAAATATGCAGGATTTTCCCCTCGTGGCGTGCACAACAAATATCAAACGATATTGTTCGATATTTTCAGTCATTCGTGACAAAAGTTCCTATATACAGTATAGTGGGCGGCAAATAGCTCATCGCAACTTTTCGCAAAAAAGTGCGCATGTTGTTTTGGCAAATATCACGCAGTTACGTTTATATAACTATTTATTTCTCTAAATTGCTATAAGTAGCGTCTTTATAATATACTATATCCAATTACTATATAATTAAAACTATATCAGTTCAACTTATCTCTTTTCTGTCTGACTGAGCACAACTCTTTCGTCTTCTTCACGTAACGTCGCTTTTTAACTTCAATACTCTTTCGTATATAACTTGTAACAATATTTCCTTAACATGCAATCTAATAGCTTTTCCAAAACGATATTCACGTAAGGCGCTGAGGCCTATGAATAATGTAACTGAGGCGCTGAGGCCCATTGAATGAATCATGTAAGGCACGGAGGCCTATGAATGAATCATGTAAGAGTTGTGCTCTCCCTTATATATGTCCAGAGAGGAACGTTTAAACTTGCATTGTCATTTCGTGGGAAGATTTTTACAATCTTCTTGCGGTAACTGTTCCCGTCCATTACGCACTTGTGGTAACGTAATACACTACATTATAATATAGTCCGGCATCCACCGTATATGAGCTGTTCTGCAATCTGATTGGTTGAATTACTCGCCGTATATCAGCTCATATACGGCGAGTAGCGAAAAACAAGATGGCGGTCCAAAAACTACATGAGTTTTGCGAAGCAGAAAAAAGGAAAATATTCGCTTTGAGAATAATAATATTACAAGGAAAACTCTCAAAAAAAATTTGACATGTTAGCAAAATACATTTATTACGTAGAAATTAGTTTAAATACAAGTTTTTTTAAATAATTAGTACCGAAACAACAGCGAAAAAACATGTTCATTGAGAATATAAATTGTTCAGAAAAGTTTGCAATGAACGACAAATGAATTTGCAGTCAACAAGCACCAACTATATAGTACCAAACATCTGTATAATATATCTGAGCTTTCCTGTGAGATATAGAGGTTCTAAAACCATTTCTTTCACTTCGTCTTCGAGTTGTAAAACAAAAGTATTTCAAATTTTCAAGCGGTTTTTGGCCGAAAAAATTGTCATCACATTGTAACAGTGAATAATTAATTACTGCTTCATGCAGTTAATGGCTATATTAGACTATATTATAAAACAATTATACCATTCGCTCTCGTCGTATATGGCTGATAGCCGACTCGGTGCTACGCACCTCGTCGGCTATCAGCTCATATACGACTCGAGCTCATGGTATAATTGTTAAATATCTGCATGCTCATGTATGACTAAGCTAAAAGAACTTCCCGTGTGTAAAACAATTTCCCATAGGTAAATTCTTTAGAGTAAATATAATATAACTAAAGTATGATATATAATATATATATAGTAAAATGTATTAATGTATAATAATTATAAAATATTATAAAATATACATAATAATTGCTATCATGTAACATATTCAGTTTTTTATGTGCCAAATTACTAAAGTTGTTAAAATAAAATAAAATGGCACTTCTTTGCTGCGAAGAGTTGTTTGCCGCACACGCACTAGGTATTTTTCTCACGAATGACAGAAAATATCAAACATGTTTGATATCAGTTGTTGTTCACAACACGAGTGACATAAATCCTGAATATTTTCCCCGCACAATAGGATTTTTGTCGCACGTAATCTGTCACGAATGACAAATGTGCGTGCGTCCGGCTTAAAAAGCCTGAACGCATCAGGCAGTACTGAACTAAAACTGCCCAAAACTTTACCAATGCAAATAAATTTATTAACTTTGCATAATCTCTGAATGTAAAGAAAAATCTGATCAAAAATTTGGGAAAAAAATGTGAGCATTTCTATTTAATTAAGTGGCATTTCTATATATTTTCATGCACAATTTAATCCACTTGAATTTATAGGTAATTGGGTCAAATGTGTGACCGAAAACTGGCCTGGCGAACAAAAAGTCATTCGTTAAGCCCATTTTCAACTTGGCAAATTTGTTCGCCCCAAGCGAGAAATTAAACAAATTTCGGCATTGTGATTGATTGGCGGAAAAGATTGCTGCGAAAAAGTAGCAACTTTCGTGGGTTGGGATAAAACGCGGATCGGGAATGCGGATTGCGGAAGCGGATTCCGGAAGTGGATTCCGCAAATGAGGATAAAACGCGGAATTGCGTAAAAAAAGACGAGAAACAGAATAGGGTATATTAAATTTGGTCACAACATTAACTTAATGCCACAACCACTGAAAAATTTACTTGGCAAAATTTTCCCTTTATTAATTTTAACTGCATTCAAACGAATTACAAGTAACCCAAATAAGTGCGCTTATGGTGGTCTTGGACAAAAAATTCCAATATTCAGTACAATTTTTTGAAAAATAAAAAAATGCAGTCAGTCTTCGCATATTTCCTACTGAATAGCATCAGTATATTTTACACACCAAAATATAATTATACGAAACCGCTTCAAAAGGTCTAAGAAGTGTGGAAATTTAAAAACATTACTTGCACAGTTATTAATTTTAATTTGCACGATTCGCTCGCGGAAAATTCAATAATTAAAATGTTATTTTTTGTGTAGTAAATAAACTATAATGATATTAAATTAATAGGAAATTACATTTGTTCTCGAAATATTGATGAAAATTTGCACTTGTGTTTGGTAAAATATTGATAATACCGCTCATGCTACGCACTCCCGGTAAGCTATAAATATTTCGCCAAACACGCGTGCAATATTTCGTTAATACTTCTCAAATCGTCCAATTTTCCATACTAATTCTATTGTCTTATGTAAGTTATTGTAATTTAAAAACTTTACTGCCAATTTTCAAAAACAAGGCGGCTCACACGGGACGTGGGACATTCATATTCTCCCTCGTTCGATATTTGCCCTCAGTAATATGTATCAGCCGCAAGTAATTACCACCAATGCCATCTAAAACATCTTTGAAATGACCAAAATTTAGAATTTCTTAATTTTTTTCCCAATACCACCGTAAGTTACACTTGCGATGTTTAACACAAATTGTTTGACCAATTGTCACTCTAATCCTCAATTATCTGAGTCGATATCCGAGTTGTATAACTAAACTAAACGGTATCCAAACAGAACCAAACAAGAGGCGTTTTACAATTTTATTTGTGAAATAGCGCTCGTGAAGTTGCAGGTGCTCTGGTCGTAGTTGCTGAAATAGTTCGCGTGGTATAACGTAGTGCCATCTTGGGGTTAAAATAAGGTTGCTTTCTTCTTAAGCAGTTTAGATGAACATGGAAATAAACGTTTCCTTCTTTCGATCGTATCACACCAGTCACTGGATCAGGGAATTCCCTATTCATCACAGTCCCCCCTCCCCCAAACACTAATGCATACATGTATGACTTCAACAGTTAGGTCTAGGGTAACTAGGTAACTTTAGCCAATCGCTTTTTAGTGGTTGTGACCTTAAAAAGTAATAATTTAGGTTTTTATACGCTATTCTGCTTCTCGTCCTCGCAATTCTGCGGAATCCGCTTCCGGAATCCGATTACGAAATCCGCATTACGCGTTTTATCCCAACCCGAACTTTTGTGGCAAGAGGAACTTTTACTTCCGGCTTATGGTTTTATCTCGTCGCTTCAAAATCATTATTATTCAGATCATTTCTTTCATTTTCAGGCTGCAGGCGGAACGCACATTATGATGGCCCTAAAGATCGCGTTAAACGGTCCAAAGAACCTAAAGGAATGTCGTGCAGAGCTCCAAATGTTTGTATGGATGACTGCGGTGAAACTCACTACGCACTACTGGGAAACTACAACTGCCCAGAAAATTCCATGTGCTGCGCTTTGAAGTAACTGACTGCAAAAGTGCTGGACTGTGATTAATATAACCATAGTGAATCTGATTCAGTGACAATACAATAATTAAAATGCTAGTACGGGTTTTCATACTGGAGTACGGGTTTTAATACTGCATGATTTATGTTTTAATGTACAGGAACTGCTGTGTTTTGTCCAGTAACAATTCTCATTAAGGGTTATTGCCAACTTGCAAGTTAAATTCTAAATTTATATCAAATTGTAAGGGTATTGATCAATAAATATTTGCAATTTACAATTTATCATTATGCAGTGTAATAGTATTTTATTTAGTGGAAAATATATAGAATTAACAGATCACAAATGCTAAACTCGCATTCCTGATTTTGAAACGATTCTATATTATATATATATATATATATATATATATATATATATATATATATATATATATATATATATATATATATATATATATATATATATATATATGTATATATATTTTTATATATATATATATATATATATATATATATATATATATATATATATATATATATATGTATATATATATATATATATATATATTTAAAAAACTCAGTAATAATTCAGGAGCATAATTCAAAACACAAAGAAAAATCATAAGCGTGTCGTGGTTATATATGTGATATAAAATCATGTTAATTTACATAAACTTTAGCTTTGATTTTCTCGGTTTAGACAAAGTTTATTTTAAAAATTACTTCGCCAACGAACTCTTATAAGCTGAGTCGTTTTTTAAGTCATTTAAAGCACTTGTAGTCGTGTTTTATCACATATACGCTTTAAATAGTATATATATATATATATATATATATATATATATATATATATATATATATATATATATATAT